AAATCGGAGGGACGGAGAGTTGGGAGGATAAAGGCAGTCCAGTCGAGGTTCGCGACGTGACTTTTCGGTTGGTCGAAGCTGGGAACCCAGCTGGCCTTGAGTGCACGGACCGCTGGTTGAAGGTGCTCACCAGGGTACACCGAGTTATTCACCGGACACCGAACCCCACCTCTTCAATATCCCAAGTACCGAGGGTAGAGACCAATAACCGCCGGTTCGTTTGCTGAGGGTTGTTCTGTGAATGATGAGATCGACGTTATAATGTTATCAAATTCATTTAGGCCACTAAGTCTTTTGTGTTTTCTCAGTCCATTCAATTGGGCTCCTTTCGACGACCTATGACTGCTTCATCTTGGACCGAGTACGAAGTATCACTTGTGTCACAATGAAGGCAGTTGTTATAGAGTTTGTCACAGTATGCAATTGATCAGGAAATTTGCACAGGAAAGAGACTGACCACTGCAGAAACTTGAACAAATCCACACCACCGAGGTCCCAACCCCAACGCCATCGCAAGATGGTTTCCTCATCAAGATCGAAGCGGCAGGGGTGAACTTCGTGGACATCCTCTACGCCCAAGGCAAGCACCAGAACAACCGCTCACTCGTCCGTCCTCCGTTCACCCTCGGCCTGGAGCTTGCCGGAACCATCCTCTCGGCGCCCTCACGCTCAGTCTTCAAGCCTGGCGACAAGGTCTTCGCCGGCCACACGGGAGCATACAGCGAGGTCATCGCCCTCCCGTCGACTGCTGTCGTGCGCCGCATCCCTTCTTCGTGGGACGTCTCCGGCGCCGCCGGGATAGCCGCCACCCTTCCCGTTGCCTACGGAGCCTTCGCGAGGGCCGGTCTCCGGCCTGGACAGACTGTCCTCGTGCATGCTGCGGCAGGTGGTCTGGGCATCATGGCCGTCCAAGTTGCCAAGGCCATGGGCTGTCGCGTCATCGGAACGGCGGGTTCCGCAGACAAATGCGCCGTAGCGAGGAAATACGGTGCTGAGGCCTGCATCGACTACTCCGACGAAAAGGAATGGTGGAGGCGAGTGCTCGACCTGACTGGGGGCGAAGGCGTAGACGTTGTCTTTGACCCCGTCGGCCTGCTCAACTTGTCCTTGAAATGCACGGCGCATTTCGGAAAGCTTCTCATAGTCGGGTTTGCTGGCGGCGAGATTGAGAATGTCCCTGCGAACCGCCTGCTGTTAAAGCAGGCGTCTCTGATCGGATACGTAAGAACCCCTCCTTTTGTCGCCCATGAGAGTGGAGTGCTGACACGGAAAGCGTTTTGGTGAAACTTTGCGACGGTCACCGGAGGAGGACGAGGTGCTATGGAGCGGTCTGCAACCCTTGATCGACTCGGGCGCCGTCGTCCCTGTCGTGTATGATACCCGTTACAACGGACTCGACAGCGTCCCGCAGGCTCTTCAAGACATGATGGACAGGAAGGTGTGGGGCAAAGCCGTCATCACAGTGAAAGAAGTAGCCGAGGCCCGGCACGGACCAAGACTGTAACGAATACACATTTGAATAGCTGAACTCCGGCACAGCTGAGCCTCAGTCATGTGCCAGCGCCTGCTGTATATGACGTCTCCCGCCAATCTAACTCGTCTTCCCCACCCAACCTTTTATACTCATGACCGATCACTGTCCTCATCGTCATCTCATCATCCTAGCAAGGAACCGGCTTTTGAAGACATCAGTCCATGGATATTGTGAGCCTGCAAAAGCGATAATCCCCATCAGACATACCAAATACACGTGGAGGCAATGCTGGACCCAAACGCCGGGCTTCGCCATGCAAGTTCCACACGCAGTGGACCAAGGCCTTGCGAGCGTGGACCACAGTTCCATCTCGTAGGAGTGTCGCTGCGCGTGGTTGTTGTCATGAATCTCATGGCATCTTGACACCCCAAACCCCCCTCCCGGCAGTGACGCCCAGCCAGTCACCATATTCGCCGTTCGCCAGGTGGGGTACCCAGCCTAGGTTTCCAATCTCGTGGTCACATTGCCAGCTTGCCGATGGGTTGCGGTAGCTATCGGGCTGGCCAGCTCCGTTCATGGCTCCAGTCGAGTTAAGAAGGTCCCAGATCAGGACCTGGCAGTCATCCGCTCCCGAAGCCAGCGTGCCTCTTCTCAAGGGCGACCACTCCACACAGTTGACAGAGCCGCCGTGACCGCGGAGCTCTAGCAAAGCCTGGCCGGGCTGTCGGACGTCCAGAATACGGATGATGTTTGAGTCTTGCGCAAAGGTCGCGAGAAGGTGAGTATCGTGGGGTGACGTAGCAAGCCTCATCAAGGGCGGAGGGTTCGTCATGGTCTGCTGGGCCAGAGTAGGACTGATTCTTCCTCCATTGGCGTCTTGTAACAGTGTTAGCAATCTCGTCATCGGGCAGTTGTGAAGCCAGAAACAACATACCTCGTTCGTCCTTGGACGTGGGCTCGTAGATGATGGTACTGTGCTCGAGGCTGCGAAGATCAAACATGCGTACGCTGCCGTCTTGACCGCAGCTCACAAACACGTCAACACTATTGGCGCAGAAGCGTACGTCGTAGACCTCCTTGTCGTGCGCAATCAGCTGGGTCTTGGCCGTCAACGATGGAATATCCCAGATGGTGCAAGTCGTATCAATGCTGGAGGTGATGATCAAGCTCGGAGAAACGGTGTTCCAGTCCAGAGATGTCAGGGGCGCAGTATGGTCGGGGGTTTTTGAGTTGGACAGGAGAGCGAGCGGTGTTAATTTGGTGGCGGTCGTTTCCCGCTTATTGTTGATCGAGTTGCTTTGCTGCGTGGGCGCCGACTCGGAGGGCAGCGACCAGAGCCGGAGGTGGTCCCCTGACGTGGCAAGCAGGTCGGTAGACTGCTTCTGCGACGAAGGAGGCTCCCAGAGAAGTCGCGTGACGGGGTACGAATGTGTGGCCTCGGCGATCTTGGAGAACTCTAAGCTATGCTTTGCGCCGCCCGATTGCTGGCCATCGGATGGACTGGGCACCACATGGGTGTCAAGGATTTGGATCTGTCGAGTATCATGAGCTAGGGGTGAGCTTGCGTGTCTAGAGAAGGGAACGTACAAAGTTGTGGCCGTCCTCGAGGTAGCTGCCAACTGCGAGCTTGCCTGCGCTGTTCCCTTGAGGTGTCCACTTGCACCAATCAAAAGCATACAGTGCCCACGGCGCCAGGTAGTTGCTGGCACCAGGCTGCGCGTTCGCCAGGTCGTAGCCAGAAGTGCCCGGGACGCCATCTGACATGCTCGAATCCGCACGGGGCCGGATGTCAGCCAGACCCAGGGGGGTGTTCGACACGACCCTCTGGGACCCTGGTGCGTTGTATCTTCCATCGGAGGGAGACATGTACTGCGACGGCGTCGTGCCACCAGGCGTTGTCGGTGTGTAGGGCGAAAAGCTAGACGAGCCGTCGAAGCCCGCCGCAGGAGAAGAGCGAGAGTAGCTGTGCGACAAGCTGAGGGTCGGCGGTTTCGACGGCGCCGCGTACTCGGACTGCTGGGACTGCTGGTTGGGGCTCTGCAGCGTGGGGAGGCTGGGCGCAGTGTTGGCGCTCATGGGCGAGGGTCGCGAGCCGCTTCCCATGCCGCCGGGTTGCAAGACGTTGGGCACAGACGATGAGCTGTGGTATGAAGCAGTGCTGGGCGAGGCCTGGTCCAGCTTGATCTGGGGCCCCGAGGCGGAGGAGGGGTATTCGCGCGGCGAGGTGGGACCTGACTGAGCCATGCCTGCGGGGGGCATGTGCAATTCGTCGTGTTGCGAGCCGTACGTGCCAGTCCTTCGTGGAGGGCCGGGAGGATACTGCTGCTGTTGCTGCTGCTGATCCATGGCCGCGTCGCGAGCAGGGAGACGAAGGGTGAGGGCGAGTACACACAGACACACACGTCCTAGTAGTATGGTCGCCGTATGATGACGGTTTGGCCGACGATAAGGATCAGGGAGACTCGGTGGATGATGGAGAACGGGCGTCGCTGGTGTCAGCGTCAGCGTCAGCGTCAGCGTCAACGTCAACGTCAACGTCAACGTCGGCGCGAGACTTGTTGTGTCCGTACCTACCTTAGGGAGAGGGAGAGGTTGGCGATCAAGGTTGTGATTCTGAGGGGTTGGGTGGGCGGTTGCGACAGCAGGACCTGGCGGCTGGTGCTGAGGTGGATTCTGGCCAGGCTCAGGTTCAGGTTCAGGCTCAGGCTCTGGGCTCTGGGCTTGGGTTTTGCATTGGGATCAACTAACTCACTGAGGAGGGGGAGCATTCAGGGCACTGGCCAACTGCCACTAACCTGATTAGGTAAAACCACACCTCCAGAGACTCTGTCGAGGCTCTGAGCTCCAGGGGCCAACAGTGGGGACATGGCCCCTGGAAAGAAAGCTTCGGGAGCCAGCTCTCATCCCTTGGGTCAATGCCACCATGCGCGCGAGTTCGTGACATGTCCGACCCGATCACAAAGACGAATCGCAAATTTTGCTTGCAAAAATCATTTACCACAAGCTACACGAGATTTCGTTTCTACGTCATTGCTGATCCTACCAAAAAAAAGACGAAGGGACCTCCGTATGAGAAGACCGCCAAGGTGCATCAGCTCGCCAGAAGCTGAGCTTCCTGGCACGCGAGCTTATGTAAACACAGCGCATGTGGCCCAGGGAGCAAGCAGCCGCCCATCCTGTGACGTCGCGAGCTTGGAAGCTCACACGCTCACTCTCACATGCTCCTCCCCCGTGAACCAACCACATCCTCCAACACGGGTCATTTTGGCCCTCCGTGATGCGAGCCAGGCAGCCAGCAACTCTCCAGGTGAAGAAGACAGCTATCTACCTTCCACTTCTGACCCTTCGTATATCGATTTGACCCTTCTTTTCCAGCGTCAGAGTCCGAACAGCCAACGATTGTTGCCGGGTCAGCATGGATTGTCTACAGCTCTCTTGGCTTTAGAACAGATATCCACGAAATACCCATGCAATCCTGAACTCTGCGAATCTTGCTGTAGAACCCCAAACCGCTGCTTCCTTCGCCATGGCGCCTTCAAAATCCTCGTTTCTAGACCGGCTATCGTCGCCTCGTGGCAGCGCACCATTGTTGCCATTCCATGAGAAACGACGTAGATCTGATGATTACGATCTGGACAACCTATCGCCAAGACAAGACGACTCGATACTTTCTGAGGATCCCTACGCTGCCAAGGGAAGACTGTCCTTGCGGTCACCTTCTCCTGCAGATCCCGACCCATGGCATGAGAGGGCCAGCTCGACCGGCTCATCTTCCAAGCTCAAGCCCCATCATGCTTTCGATGGGCCACCGCCTCCCATAGCAGCGTCGATCGTCATCCCGCAACGTTTGGCGCCCGCATCACGCTCACGAGAACGGAGGCCCGGGAAAAGTGCCATGAAGAGCGCCGGCTCCAGCCGCCTAGGCCTTGGCAGTGTTCTCTTCGATGCCACGTCTCAAAGGCAGTCGGCCAACCCAGCAGACTCCACGTGGCGCGCCCTGCAGCGACGAGAACAGGCCATCGGGAAAGAGCTGCAGGACCTCCTCGATATGCAAGCCATGGGTCTCGTGGCTGGGAGCGAGACGGCGACCTCGTCGAACGCCAGCGACGTGGACGCCTTCAGCGACACGGGCAGCAGCACGCCGACTGCAACGTTCTACTCGACCGTCACCTCGAGGTCGCGCATGACGGCGTCCCTCGACCACCCAACGCGTGCGACGCCGCGAGGGGACGTCATCCCCATCCGCCAGCCCAAGGCCTCGAAGCCCCAGGGTCTGCGTGCCGCTCGCAACGGCCTGCGAAGATCCATGACGGCACTGGCCAATCTCAAGGCTGAAGAGGACGCCCATGTCGAGGCGGCTTTGTCCGATCGCAAGAAAGCTCTGGTGTATCTGCAGAGATTGACGAAGAAGCAAGAGGGCATCTCGCGGGAGCTGCACTCGCTCGCTGATGACGGCGAAGAGCCGTTGGCCAAGGAGCTGCGTGACCTAGGCGACCAGCATCAAGCGCTTGACCAGGAGATACGCGAAATGGAAGAGACGTTGGTGGGCATGCGGAATCGCCGTCGCTGGCTGGGACGAAAGATGGAAGACGTCAAGAACAGACGTGAGGCTGGCTTGAGCGGCTACCGAGGCGCGATGAAAGAGGTAGAGGGCGAAGTTTCTTCATTGATGCGCCGCCCCCCTATCGAACCCCTTGATCTTGAGGTGCTCATGACCGACGCGAGCGAGAGAGGCGACGAAGACATGGCGGGCCTTGCTAGTGGCGAAGAGTTTCTTCAGCTCATTCCGGAAAGACGCACACCAGCACTAGCCATGGAGTGGTGGCAGGGGGAGATTGTCATGTTGGAGGCCCGCAAGAACCAGATTGACAAGGACCGCGAGGCCCTCGAATCTGGGTTGGACTTGTGGAATGACTGCGCGACCCTTGTTGCCGGCTTTGAGGCGAAGTTACGAAAGCTTCTGAAGGGCGAAGCGACAGGCAAGGGCAAAGAGAAGGCTGCCTCGCCAGAGGAGGCCCTTCGACAACATGTTGCCGGGATGGCAGGGGTCATCGAACAACTCCAGGAGTATGTGAACATTGCGGAAACGAACAACTGGAACTTGCTCATATGCGCCGTCGGTGCCGAGCTAGAGGCCTTTGAAGAAGCCGAGAGGATGCTCCGGGATACTCTCGAGTCATCAGACGAGCCTACCCCAGCACCGGACAAGTTGCTTGTTGAGGACAACTTAGAAGAGCAAGGACCAGCGCATGGAGAAGCAGAAGGCAACGGTAGATCGAATCACGAGGCCGATGAGAGTGACAACGATGTCCCGTTGGACTTGTTGGTCGCGGGACGTGAGGAGCAAGACCATCAAGAGGGGGAGCGCACGAGCGGAAAGGGTCATCACCATGAAGGGGATGAAAGTGACAGTGGTGTTCCGCCTCCTGAATTTTTGGCAGAGCACGATCCTGACGACGGAGATTTTCATACTACAAGTCGATGAGCACAGGAGTTTGAGGTGTCTAGATTTGCCCCATTCAAGATGACTGCTGTGCTTAGGAATAATTCCAGGGCAGTTTCGACCTCGTTACCACAACCCAAGTCTAATTGTCTCAACACGTGCACCTGCAAAGCGAATGGTAGGCTTCAGTATCAAAGGTACTGCCTATGGGTAACCTCGGCTATGTGCCGTGGGTTTCGCCGTTTCGCCTATAACAAACCCGAGAGAGTGGAGCACGGGAAGGGGAAATCGTGAGGCATTAGGGTCCGGGATGGGGTTCCGATGTGTCGGGCCTGGAACAGCCCGGGATGCATTTTGCTTATATTCTCACTCTCGCAGAAGTATTCGTCTTGATACTGCCCTGTTCTCTAAATGATGCACAACTCCATTTATAACGCCAACACCTGAAGAGACCGAAACAGAGAGTGACGAGCATTGTCGGCCTTGGACAACATGCTGGCTTCGACAGACTCGAGCCAGATATCGGAGAGGGGATCTGAAGGACCAACAAATCCAAAGATGAACGATCAACTATTCCCAAGAGCCCGTGTCATTTCCTCCAAGGAATGAAGCCGGCTGGCTCGCCGTTGTGTGACCGAGCAAAAAGCCACCATGCCATTACCGAGACCTCTCGAACCAGCCGCTGGACCCAGCAATAGCGACCGACTGATCCATGACCCATTCACCGACACCGAGGTACTTGTCGATCCATTTCGAAACGTCCTTGTTTTCGCCAGCAGCTCTGTCGGTCTTGAAACTAGGCCTAGGAGTTCCCAAAGGGGCATGCGTCAGCCATCCAGCCGGTTTTCCAGCGATCATGTCGACCGCTGCTTGCAAGAATCGGAAGTGATGGCATTTGGACACTCACGTCAAGCCAGTGGAGCGCTTCATGCCGGCGAGGACCGTGGAAACTGCGAGACGAAACGGTCAGCGACAGGTTCGAAACGACCGCGGCAAGTAGAGCGACGCACTGAGAACGGCATCGACGGCGTAGTGTGTCAGACGCCCGAGCTTTGACCATAGTCCCAGTGTCAGCAGGTTGAGGAGCTATTGCGCAGGTTTAGATGCTGCTGGCAGGCGAGCACCGGGCTCGTTGGCGGGCGGTACATACAACCATTGTGTAAGTCTGTCGTGCCTCGTTCGGTTGGTGGTGGTGATGTCCTGATAGTTCGGAGCGCAGGCCTCGACGATGTCTCTGGCGTCTTCAGCTGTGGCGGTTTTTATCTCTTTGTTTTCGTGATGCTAACAAATGGCAGGTATTGGTATCAGGCGACGAGATGGTGGTGATGCAGATGCAGGGACCGATCAACAGCGCACGAGACACCACGACAACCAATGGGTCCACCAGCTCTCTCCAGGCTGCTCGACGGCCCGCCTGCCAAGATCAGAGGACCCCGCCGAAGCAGCGGTCAGGTCACGTGTTTTCCACCGATAAGCCATGGCCCGAGCTCCTTCACGGCGGGGCCTGACGATCCTATCGCACGAGATTGATTCGCTAGGCGATCCATTAGTTGGGGCCTTTGGCGCTTGCCGTTGTCGGGGAAGGCGGCGGGACGCTGCCTGTGCCTGAGACGGCCCTTTTGGTTTGTTGAGGGGACCTGATGCTGACAGACCGACATGTCTGTTTGGTCGGCTGGCTAGGCTTGAGCTCATTGAGGTGAGGCTTTAACAGCGAACGGAGCTCCGTGGGCAGGAAGGACAGAAGCAACGAAAGGACTCACGAAATCCCTCATCCGAGCCCCGGCCGTCTCCCAAGATCTGAAGCTGGAGCCTGACACCATTATTGAAGCATCGGAAAGGAAATCCTGTTGAGGGTCTGAGTCCAAGGACGGGGATCTCAGGATACCTACGGCGTTTCTGCATCCTGGAAGTGATCATCATTATTTTTTATTTTTCGCAGAGGTATCAGACCCGTCCCACCGCCCAAATCGTCGCACTGTCTGAGGTAACAGGCGCTGGGATACCTGCACTCGGTCAGGTCGCCCACCAGGCTTGCCAGGGTTCTTTTCAGTGGAGCTGACACTGAGTGGGGGCAGCTTCGCGTCTCAGTGGGGTACCAAAATAGCTGTAAGGACAGTGCGTGGGCTGCTCAGGCGCGGGGCTCGGCCGTGGTCGCAGTAGCAGCACCAAGGCAAAACACCAATTGAGGAGGGGCAACTGCACCACCGACGCAGCTTCCCTCTCCATTGGGTGCTTTTTTTTCTGGCTGGTCTGCTTCCATATCGCCCAAAAAGCCTCCCTGGCTTGCTTTCTCCGACCCCTTCATCTCTCCTACAAAATCCCATCTTACCTTATTTCCCTCATCTTTTTAACCATCTTCTCGTTCGACTGGTATTTTAACTCGTCTACGAGCTTCACACCTGGAACACCTTTGTGTTCTTTTTACCCCTCCTCTCCTCATCGAACGGCCGTGCCGCTCTGGAAAAGAAACAGACACACCCCTCCACCGCCCACCTCAACAGCAGCACCACCCTCACAATGGCTGCCACCGCTAAGGACCATCTCGATGTCGGCGGCAAGATTGCCTGGTTGGCCAACCTCGACACGGCGTTCACCCCCGAGAAGAACTACCGTCGCTCTTCCATCATCTGCACCATTGGCCCCAAGACCAACTCTGTTGAGGCCATCAACAAGCTCCGCAAGGCTGGTCTCAACGTCGTCCGCATGAACTTCTCTGTATGTGCCGGCATGCCCTGCCCTCAAGAAACGAGCGCTTCAGCTAACAACTCCATCTCAGCACGGCAGCTACGAGTACCACCAGTCCGTCATTGACAATGCCCGCGCCGCCGAGAAGGCCCAGCCCGGCCGCCAGGTCGCCATCGCCCTCGACACCAAGGGCCCCGAGATCCGTACCGGTAACACCAAGAACGACGAGGATATCCCCCTTGCCGCCGGCACCATCCTCAACATCACCACAGATGAGCAGTACGCCACTGCGTGCGACACCAAGAACATGTACGTCCTTATCATCCACTCTGCTGCCAGAACAGCTTCTGACCCTCACTCCCAGGTATGTCGACTACAAGAACATCACCAAGGTCATCGAGCCTGGCCGTATCATCTATGTCGATGACGGTGTCCTTGCCTTCGACGTTCTCTCCATCAAGGACGACAAGACTGTCGAGGTCAAGGCCCGCAACAACGGCTTCATCTCTTCCAAGAAGGGCGTCAACCTGCCTAACACCGATGTCGATCTTCCCGCTCTGTCCGAGAAGGACAAGAACGACCTGAAGTTCGGCGTCAAGAACAACGTCGACATGGTCTTTGCCTCCTTCATCCGCCGCGGCCAGGACATCAAGGACATTCGCGACATTCTTGGCGAGGAGGGCAAGCACATTCAGATCATTGCCAAGATCGAGAACCGCCAGGGTCTCAACAACTTCCCCGAGATTCTCGCCGAGACCGACGGTGTCATGGTTGCCCGTGGCGATCTCGGCATTGAGATTCCCGCCGCTGAGGTTTTCGCTGCCCAGAAGAAGCTGATTGCCATGTGCAACCAGGCCGGCAAGCCCGTCATCTGCGCCACCCAGATGCTCGAGTCTATGATCAAGAACCCCCGTCCCACCCGTGCTGAAATCAGCGACGTCGGCAACGCCGTGACCGATGGCGCCGACTGTGTAATGCTGTCTGGTGAGACCGCCAAGGGTGCCTACCCCAACGAGGCTGTCAGCGAGATGCACGAGGCCTGCCTCAAGGCGGAGAACACGATTCCCTACGTTTCGCACTTTGAAGAGATTTGCACTCTGGTTCGTCGTCCCGTCAGCGTTGTCGAGTCCTGCGCCATGGCCGCTGTCCGCGCCTCTCTCGACCTCAACGCCGGTGCCATCATCGTCCTCTCCACCTCGGGTGACTCTGCGCGCCTCATCTCCAAGTACCGTCCCGTGTGCCCCATTCTCATGGTCACCAGGAACGCCTCTTCCTCCCGCTACAGCCACTTGTACCGTGGTGTCTACCCCTTCCTGTTCCCCGAGTCCAAGCCCGACTTCAACAAGGTCAACTGGCAGGAGGATGTTGACCGCCGTATCAAGTGGGGCATCAACCACGCCATCGACCTCAACGTCCTCGGCCAAGGCGAGACCGTCGTTGTCGTTCAGGGCTGGAAGGGTGGCCAGGGCAACACCAACACCCTGCGTATTGTCAAGGCTGACCCCGAGCACCTTGGCCTCGGCGAGTTGTAAGTGGCGAGAGAAATGCTGGTCATGGCTGGGGGTAATAGGAGTGAATAATGAAGCTTTGAGGATATCCCTTCATCGGTAGACTTCGGAGATTGCCGCCCTGCTTTTCAGGCTCACCTTCAATAACGAATTACTGTTTATTCTTGTTACATTCGGAACTGATGATAACTCTGCTTTTGCTGATCTTGTGGTGCTGATTACCTAGCTCTCATGCGTGATCCGCGTAGCATCATGCTACCCGAGGCGCGCGGTTGCCGCTTGTAAGACATCGATATATTATTAGACGCCAGGATCATGTTTCGCCGAGATCAAACGTGTACAAAACATTGAAGTATAGAGTAGCCAAGCATGGTCTATATCTGCGGCCATGCCCAGCGCATGACTGGGGTCATCGCACCCTTATTTGAACGGGTCAGTGACACAGCACACCTCCATTGACGTAATCGGTAACAAGGGTCCGCCAAAACTGTCTGTCAAGGGAGACAGAAGGCATGGGTTTCGCGGGCTGATTGATTGAACATGTCAATTGACCTCAACTATCGATAACTCAGTCAACCTCTAGCTGATGGCCAGCGATATTGGGTCAAGCAGAGGAAGAGCGGACTTCCACAGCTTGGACAACAGCAATTCTTCCATACATGATTTGATTACGGGTTTCGAAACACTGAAGCTTCCGATTTGGATCTCGTCAGTGGCCAGAGTTGACTCGCGGGGTGATGAGCCGTCTGCGTGGGATGGTGGGAATATAATGAGATTTGCCCTTGGCGCGCGGGGCGTCCAGGCTGATAAATACTCCGAAGCAAGACTCGACAACGAGCCAAGACCCCTTAGAACGGAGGCGTTGAGGTCCATGCTCTCGATACGGAAGGAGAAGCCTTGATTCTGGTAGCCACTTTGGCATCATCGGACCTGGACCCTGGCTTACCCCAGGTTTCTTGCAGACAGGCATCACGAGATAGCGTCGCATCGGGAGATGATCACCAGGAAATTTATAACAGTGCAGAACGGTACTTGGGATTTGACGTGCGGTGGTCAGCATCTGAGCGACTTTACCCGGGCTGGGGGATGGGGGTGGCCCTGGTTCGCGGGATTCGAGATGTAACCAAGACTTCCTAATACGGAGAACGGAGGGTAGCAATCAAGGCCATGAGAGACTCTGAAATCCAGCTGTAAATAAGATAGAGTTGCCTCCGATCGAAGAGGTAGATCGAACCAAACTTTGTAAATCAAATCATCCACTATCAACATCCTCATCTTCTCACCACAAGTCCCAGGCACCGTCATCATGAAGGCCGCTACAGCTCTCTTGTCCCTGGCGCACCTCGCTTCGGCGCACTGTATGTAGCGATGGATCAGAACCCCTGAAGATCTTCTGACTTTGCTACAGACACTTTCCGGACGGTTGAGTTCGATGGGCAGCCTACTTCGGAGTGGGGGATCATCCGCAAGACAGCCAACTTCGAGACGGCAGGCCCTATCGAGGATGTCACCAGCGAGCAGTTGACATGTTACGAGCTGAACCCCGGCAGCCACGGTGCTGGAGTTCTTGATGTACAAGCCGGTGCTGCTGTCTGTAAGTCGAGGACATACGTGACGTGAGCGAACCAGGCCAACCTGACAGGACCCAGCCTTCACCTCCTCTCCCGCCATCTTCCACCCCGGCCCGTCCCTGGCCTACCTGGCAAAGGTTCCTGCCGGCACGTCAGTGTCCGACTGGGACGGCAAGGGCGCAGTATGGTTCAAGATTTGGCAAGACGAGGCCATCATCACTTCGTCAGGCATCAGCTGGCCCAGCCTGCGTAATTCCTCTCCCTCAAACCCCTCGGTCCCCAGACTCTCTGTTTACTGAACAATGTGCAGAATCACCTACGATCGACTTTGACCTCCCGGAGTGCCTCGAAAACGGCGAATACCTCCTCCGTGTAGAACACATTGGCCTCCACACGACGCTGGAGCCGCAGTTCTACCTCAGCTGCGCCCAGATCAACGTGTCTGGCGGATCGGGATCATACTCGCCGGCTGGGCTGCTGAGCTTCCCTGGAGCCTACAGCATGAATGACTCTGGGCTCAAGGCGAACCTTTACTGGCCGATTCCGACGGAGTACATGTGAGTTCTAGGCAGTGGATCATTGTGTCTATACGTGCTGACTTATATGGGTGAAGTGCCCCTGGCGGTCCTGTTGGTTCTTGTTGAGAAGACGAAGGCTGTTGCACCTCGTCAGCTAACTGCTCGTACTGTAAGATAAGGTAGGTTGACACATCAGACGTGCCATGATCTGAACTATGAGTGAGGCCATTGCAATGATGTGGCTAGCCTACTAGTCTAGTATAACTACAGTAGCAATACACTACGTCGGGGCCATAGCTGCAGACCGTTTCGTACGATACCAAGTTGTGAGCAATAGCTAAACGCCTGGCATGCTCAGACGTCGTCTCTGATGATAGCCAATGCTGTAGTGAACCCGAACCGTACTTGGCACGACCGTGTCAGTGGTCACCTACCCGCTCAGAAGATCTCCTTATCCATGTCTTCCGAAGTCTCGCCGGCGCGTTTACGAGCTCTCAAGTCCAACCATGAAGCCATCTTCGAAACCTTCTGCCTGAGCTCCGGCATGGAAGGTCGATACTTCAACTCTGCCGCCTTCCTGACCGGCGACATGACGGGCACCGACGCTTTGGACCGCACCCTGCGGACCTTTTCAGTTTTCTCCCCGTAGACGTGATCTTCGTCATCGAGAAAGTTCGGAAGCTCGAGGCTTGGCGGCCCTTCTTTGGACCATTCAGGCCTCGCCTTCTGGGCGTCGACATGTTCCAGCGCCCGGCTCCTCTGCCGCAGCCCCTCCCGCGACGCCATGGCCCTCAGTCCCGCCCGCGACGACCTCCGCCTCAGCCGCGACACGAGACCTTGGACTCTGCGCTCAAGCGTCTCAATGTCGGCTGCCACGGAGGCCTTGCGCTCGCGCACCTTGGACGCGAGCACGCCGAAGCGCGCGGCGCGGCGCACCGAGGCGGTGGAACGGGAGTCGTGACTCGTCGTCGGCGTGTCGAGGAAGGTGACGCCGCGGGACGAGACGTGCGGGGCCGGAAGCATGATGGGGCCCGGCGGGACGCGCGGCGGCGGGGGCATGTCGGCGTCGTGGTTGTCGTGGTGGACGCGCCCGGTTGCGATGTCCTGGCGGGAGGACTGGCCGGGGAGGCGCGGCCAGAGCGGGGAGGGGGTGACGCGGTAGGCGTGGTGCTTGAGGAGGTCGGGGGTTGTGGCGGTCGGGGGCTGTGGGAAGATGTTGTGGACGAGGGTGTGGGTGAAGGTGTTGCTGAAGCCGCAGATGCGGATCGAGTCGACGAGACCTGCGAGGTCAAGGAGGGGGTTGCAGACGGAGAAGGCGGTGTCGGGACAGTAGGGGATGCGGACTAGGATCTGTTTAGATCAGGCCTGAGGGAGATGATGGACGTTTACTCACAGCAGGGATCGAGCCCAGTAATGTGATCAATGACCGTGGGTCGGCAACCATAGAACCGGCGGCAAAGCAGCACAAAGCTGGACATTGTCGACTCATCCTGGCGCCTCAACTGGACGTCGACAAACATCTGGATGAGGGTATCGAGGTTCATGTTGCCAGCGCGCAGCTTGTAGGCTTGGCGGTCAGGACCGAAGCCGAGACGGGTCATGTCGATCTCAAGAATTATGTGACGCATGAAGCGGCCATACCTTCGATACCAGTGAGTGGCCAGCGGGTTGAAGTAAGTGTTGACAAAGGGCGAAAAGGTAATATGGAAACGCTCAGTCATGAGGACAGTTAGCATCATGTCGGCGAAGAAGAGAAAGGAGACGCGCAGATAGGGGCCCAGCGCTTGGAGCATGCTCGACAGAGAGCTGAAGTCCTCGGCCTGCTAGGCGTCGGCACATGCTGTTCTGTGGGAGAGGCAGATGGGAGTCGGCTCAGCTTTTGCGTGGCTGGCGATGAGGTGCCGACAAATTCGGTAGCGAATAGTATCGGGAAGGCCGAGATAGCTGAGGCGAGGGTGATACCACGGCTGACGTTCGTGCTGGCCGAGAAAGGCGCAGAGGCAGGCTGAAAAGAGATCCTCGGTGTTTGCAGGTCTTTCTTCGCGACGATGCTTGTGATATACGATATCAACCACGCGATCCCATGGGGGAAGGTCGTCTCGGGGCTCGCTCGAGGAGTCTGCTCGACCGAGAGCGGGCCTCTCTATGAGAGTCTGAACAATCTTGGGGGCTAGAGATCCCGGAAAGGGGTGTGGAAGAGGCGTTGAAATAGCAATTTGCGCGATCGAAAGCTTCTTCTGTAATCGCGGTCGAGGGGGTGAAGTTGAAGATGTCACCTGCTCACAGACTGTAGCTGAGTCAGGTCTTGGAAGCACGGGTCTGTTCCAAGATAGCGGGTGTTTTTCCGACATGCTCGATAGAGATCTTTCAGCCATCTTGACTGCGTGCCTGTTTCGAGCAAAGGCTTCTCCCGGGCTTCAGAGCTCTGGCTGTGTGGTACAATGGCTGATGCTGAGGAAGACTTGCAGAGATGGGAAACAGCCGCAGGATGGGAAAGTAGCAACAGACGCGAATAATCAACAAGGAAGGCGCGTCGTTGATGTGTCAGGGCACAGTGAATGAGTGAGGTCTAGTAAGGTATATGAGCGTAGACAGTCATGACAACGAGCCCCTGACCTCAGGCAACCGGGTGAATTCACAATGAGAAGTGCCGCGCCGTCCAGTTGCATCGGGCAGAGATCGAGCCACTTCAAAGATGAATAAAAAGAATGAGAGAGAGTATTTGGCCTGCTCAAGTCTGTACACTACCTAGGTAGGTATACTAAGGTACCTATCTCGGATCTTCGTGCTTCTGATGAGGGTCTGAGGCCGGGTATGTGGGGCCGTGCCGTGGCCGTGGCCGTGGCCGTGACAGCAGGCCCCCGAGCAGTGGACCCCGAGCAGTGGACCCCGAGCCGGAGGAGGAGAGTCTGTCGCAGCTGAGTTGATCCTGCCTTACCTGACAGAAGGTACCTCTGTACTTGTCTCGATAACACTCAATTATGAAAAATTTTGCTGTCTATTTCCTCAAACCCACCCTTCAATCCCACCATCTCGGCGACTGCAACAGATTTGGCCAAAATGTGTGTCTCACACCTGTCAGCTTCGTCGAGGGTCGACATTGCCGTCAAGGGCACAAGGACGAAAGCACTTCCCATAAAAGGTTTCCCTTTTCTGACCAATTTGTCACCTCTTGCGATTCTGAGCTCAGGAAGTAGCAGGTGTAAGGTCGGAAAACACTGCATCTTTGAGTGCACGAGGCTGACAAATATATACCTCCCTAGTCCTACAAAAACCCTTGACGAAGACGTGAACAAGACAGCAAAACGAAAGATTCCCAAGAGGGCCGAGATGCGAGAAACCACACTTGTTTCTCCCTGAGACCAGCCAGAATCCGATGCTCTGATGCTCTGGTCTACTCCTTTACAACCGAAAGGTCACGCATGTACTATGTGCCAGACAAACGCCGTTTCGTAGCTCGTCGCCACTGTCGTACCGGCGGAGATCACCACCTCGTATTGCGCAGCGGCGACTGATCTGTTGCGGAAGGATACAATTCTACCAGGCCATCATGCCCTGCCCACAGGAACGATGGACGGGCCACTGAACCAGTAGTCGCTTGAATCCGAATCTCGGACCATCCCCTACGCACCGGCTGTTCGGCACCATGGCCAGGCCTCGACCCCTCACCCCATCCCTGTTTTCGGCGGACTTTTAACCTTAACCCCGCTGCCAAAACCTGGGGTTGAAGTCGCGTCCTGTGAACCTGCTTGCGCTTCGCCTTGGAGACCAAACAGGTCACTCGAGTTTCGCTCGTCAATCGGATCAGTTCGCTTCGGCTCATTGAATGGTAGCCATGGTGGGTCGGTCTGAAGAGGCTCAACTGCGGAAAGCGAACGACATCTTCGAGCCTGGAAGCGGGCCCCTTGTCGTGTACGCCCTTCATTGGGGTCATTCCCCAAGATGAACAGCGCCTTTCACCTGCAGTGCAGCCTGCAGGGCTTGTTCCCAAGCGAAAGGGGGACGGAATTGGGGCCAAGCTGGCCTGGGACGGGGGGTCGGCGCATGCACACACCGATGCCAACCATGTTTCGTCCCTCTACACCCTGGTTTGTCTGCCCCTGGCCTGCTCAGCGACCTATCAACATCCCCTCATGTGTCACTCGCGTGGTGTCGGTCATTTTAGTCCATCGGCCGAGTGGCCGATCCTTCGGGAGTGTCCCGTTACGATGCTGGCTGAAAGTTCCGTTAAATGGACCAACGGCACGCCACCACCGAACACAAAAAACGTGGAGGAAATGATCCAGAACATTTGCTTCACTGCTTTATTCCCCATGTCGCTTTTGTCTGTTCTGCTCCTGGCGCATGGTTTGAACGGCATCTTTCCTCAAGCATTGTGACGAACGTTTCCATTGATTGCATTTGTTCACCTAACACCGATTGGCATTTTGACGAATTACTTCAACCCCCCATACTCTTCCGCTCGGATTGGCTTCTGTCGTCTGCTAGCACTGCCCCGCGCAACGCCTGCCGAGGCTCGTTGAAAACAACGAACATCCACTTTTGCGACACTCCTGTCCCTAGGACTGCAGGACGACAGATCTGCCTGTGAGTTGCATGTCGTTGTTTGCATGTCTTTGGTTGCATGTCTTTGGCCGCATGCCACTTCGCTATGGACCCCAGGCTCAGAGGCCAGAGTGGCAGGTGGTTCACTTGTGATTTGTGCTGAAACCATCCAGATACCTCGCTGAGGCCCCTGGAACCCCTGAAGCCCCCGCCCATGGCGTCCGGCGCCCCCTCAAGCGCGATGCCACCACCGGAATACGACCAGCAGCCAGTCTCTGGCCCTGAGCTGTCTGGCGACGACAAAACGCTGCCAGGCTCTAATGACACAGATGACAGGCCTCATACAGCAGACAGCAAATCAATCGAAAATCAGGAGACAACGCAGAGGGAGGTTTACGAGAATGACACAGCCCTGGCTCTCGTGCCCAGTTACAGTCGCAGCCACGTCGCAGAAGATCCGGAAAAGGGCCCAGGCAAAGTTGAGGATGTCGAAGAGACAGACCCAAATGTTGTCTTCTGGGATGGCGACGATGACCCTGAGAATCCATACAATTGGCCTACATGGCGCAAGATTGTCAACTGTGCTCTCATCAGCTTGTTGACCTTCATCACACCCCTAGCTTCCTGTGGGTTCTCTTGTCGCGCACTCTGTGTATCTGAAGCTCATCATAATGTGTAGCAATTTTCGCCCCTGGCGTGCCAGACCTGATGCGCGAGTTCGGCAGCAGCAGTCCATTGCTGGCGTCTTTCGTCGTTTCCGGTATGTCGCTCGTTGCCTCGCGTTTCACAGGTTGCTGTACTGACAGCTGCCAGTCTACGTTCTCGGTTTCGCCGCGGGTCCCTTGCTGTGTGCGCCGCTGAGTGAAATCTATGGCCGCACTATAGTCTATCATGTCTTCAATGTGGGATTCTTCTGCTTCAACATTGGCTGCGCCTTGGCCCCATCGCTGAGCTCGCTCATTGTCTTCCGCTTCTTCGCCGGCCTCTTTGGCGCTGCTCCGATGACCAACGGCGGCGGTACCATCGCCGACATGATCCGTCAGGAGAAGCGCGGCGCGGCCATGGCTTCATTTGCCATTGGGCCTCTCCTCGGGCCGATCCTTGGCCCTGTCGCCGGCGGATACATGTCCCAGGACATCGGCTGGCGCTGGGCCTTTTGGCTCGTGGCGATTCTCAGTGGGGTCATCAGCATTGTCATGGTTTTGTTTCTACGAGAAACATATGCCATCATACTCCTCCAGCGCAAGGTCGATAAAATGCGTAAGGAAACGGGCAACCAGGCATTGCGGTCCAAGCTCGACAGTGGACTGTCGCCCACCGACTACTTCAAACGAGGCATCTACCGGCCTCTGAAGCTGCTTACCATCTCGCCCATCTCCATCGTCTGGTAAGTCCCACACACAGCCTTCCCATCGTACAACCGCTGACAGTCCAGTGCTCTGTATACCGCCATTGGTTACGGCTATCTCTACATCCTCTTCACCTCCTTCACCACAGTTTTCATGCAGTACTATGGCTTTACTGCCGGAACCTCAGGCCTCTCTTTCCTCGGCATGGGCGTTGGCTCCATGTTCGGTCTTGTCTTCTTCTCTGTCTACTCCGACCGCTACCTCAAGTCCAGGGCGGCCCGCGCCGACGCCGCCGCCGATGCCGCCAACCGCCCCCGCGAGGGCATGAAGCCGGAGTATCGCCTCGTCACCCTCCCCTGGGGCGCCATTCTCCTGACCATCGGCCTCTTCTGGTACGGCTGGTCCGCCGACGAGGGCCGCACGCACTGGATCGTGCCCATCCTCGGCACTGCCGTCGCCGGCTTCGGCAACCTCCTCATCTTCATGTCACTGCAGCTCTACCTCGTCGACGCCTTCTCCGTGTACGCCGCCAGCGCGCTAGCGGCCAACACGGTGGCTAGGTCGCTGGCCGGTGCATTTCTGCCGCTGGCGGGACTACCGATGTATGAGGCGCTCGGGATCGGGTGGGGGAACACCGTCTTGGGCATCATCTCGGCGGTCATGATCCCGGTGGCATATGCCATTATCAGGTATGGGCAGCACTTGAGGCAGCGATTTGAGGTGAAGAATCTGTGAGGGAAAGCTTTGAGCAGGAGAGACTGACTCATGGGCATGTACGTATAAATGGTGCAATAGAACGTATACATGTTGGCACGATGATGAGCGGCAGGTGCCGTTGATGTTGAGCGGAGGGGTTCGCACCTGCACAATTCTTTCTGCATTCAAGCAGTGGTTCTCTCCGTCGTCGATGGTACCTTATGTTTCGGTCCGACCTTACCTGCCTTCTAGCTTGTCATCCAGCTGGCTTCTTGCCGTTTTGTGAATGTCCAGTCACCGGTCTGTACCTGGTCATCGCTCTCGGGGGCAGGCGTATCTTATCTGCAGATGCAATGAAAGCTAAAGATGGCCAGGTACCTCCTCTTGATCCGGGAAGGAAAGACGCTGGCTGCTTCTGCTATTCAGTCAGGAACATCCAGCGATTGCTGGCTCTGTAAATGCACCATATATCTTCTGTCAGGGGACTGTCTCTTGTTTCTTCTTCTCTTCTCCTCTCTCTTCAACGCGAGTTCATCAATATGGCGTAAGTACCATTCCATCCATTCCAGCTTCATCTGAAAACGAATGCTAATGAGAAACATCAATCCAGATCGTCTAATTTCATCACCATCTCGCTCAACCCTGGCTTTCTTGCCGCGCCGGCTGGCCCCCGAGCAGAACCGCCTCCCCTCCTCCCCTCCTCCTCCGACGCCCATCAGCCCCCGCGGGCCTCTCAAGCCCGGCGCAACTGTAACGTAGAGCTGGGTTGGACGCGTTGCGGAAATCATAACAATGGTGATGCTGGCGGCAGCCTAGAAGTAGGCAGCAATATGGAATAGTCCCCACCGCCGCTTTGTAGGCAACAGTTCGTCGTGCCCACTTATGAGGTTCTCTCCATCACGCCTACAACTCTCCCAAATTTCGCCGTCCCCAGCTTCTTTTCAACAATCGATATTGCTACAACTGTCGTATCCTCGCGTCGTCTGTTGATCCTACGCCTACCCTCAGTCACTTCGGTCTCTTCGTTCAGTCGCCACTATGTCGGACATTGCCCTCCGCTTCGATGAGGTGTACCTATACAATCCCCAGCTGGCCTGGGCTCACGATCGCCGGCTTCCTGATACTGAGGCCGGGAACCCCCCGTGCGAACACTGTTTCGGCAAACTCGCCTCCTAGCTAGACATCGAATGTGTGGCCGGACGTTCCGATACTAAGTGTATCACCTGCGAGTTCGATAAAGGCGCTTGTCTTACCGTAAGTTCGCCGAATCTTTTGGCTATGCTAGCTAATAGTTGTAGATCCCTAAGCCCCTTCGTGGGGTTGCTTAGTTTATTTGGCAGGAGGTTCATAACTAAATGTACGCCGCTGAGGGCACGACCCTGCGCAACTGTTCGTCGAAGCAGCGCGCCCGTTATCTCTCCCGCCTCGCCGAGGTAATCAAATGTTTCAAGAAAATGTCGGAAATCGTTGTCGACCCGGCTAGTAATGGCCGTTTCCATGATGCCGTAGGTTACGCCCGAATTTTTGGGTTCCCCTTCACTGACCATGCAGTATCTGCTCGCCGAGATGTCCTCTATGCGTTCGCTGCTGTCTCTCCAGCTTCGCTAACGTGTAAGTTTCCTAGCCCCTTGTTTTGCGTCCCTTCGCCGACTGAGTCTTCTTCAATAGGTTCGGCCTCTGGGTCGCAAGGCCCTCGAAGAAGCCATCGCTATTCGTCAACCCGGGTACATTGTTCACTGTTAAGAGGCCGATGCCCTCGAACTTGCCCTCTTCCATCTACACGTCGACCCGTACGATCACCCCCTGGACGGCGAGGACGCGACCAAGCCAGTCCGTGGCCGCCCTGAACTTCCCGCCAACCCCAAGCTTGTCGATCTGCTGGTGGATGCCCTTATATTCAGGACCAAAGGTATACTCTTCTCCAGCTCCCAACTTCCTGCATGCAGTCGGCTTCATCCGAAATTGGCATCAATAACTAACATGATTTTCTGTTCAGTGGTTCTGGGGGCAACGACCTTGAAAATGGCAGGGGCCCGCCCGACGATGGGCGTCGGACGACAGAGGGCAAGGACTCGGGGGGGGCGGCGACCCTCGGGGTACACTTCGGCTGCTAGGGGCAGTTCGTTGCGGTTGCCGCCGCTTTGGTGATGGTGTTGTGGGCTGCGGCTCGAATTGTTCAGGCTAAGCATTCTTAAGCGTGTTTTTATCTTTAGAAGCGTTCCATTATTATCCAAAAATTACAGTCGTTTTGATTTCTTTTCACATTTGATCGTTCATCCGAACATGAAGTAAAGCAGTTTCATCAGCTACTGCCCGGAGATGAATCCGTGATGAACAAGGAAGACAACGAGGCGACCAAAAGAGGCACATTGAACATGGCACTTTGCAAACAAGAATTCTCCCCCGCGATATATCGAAGCATCATGCGAAAGTTCGGCATAGAGGTAGGTATAACACTACCACTGCTTCTATTGTCATTGCGAGCTAATTTGGCATAGTTTCCTCCTTTATTGACGCTGACACTTCTGGCTTAGGCCATGGCCACCAGCCTGCCAGCGGCAGGTCATCGTAGATACAGTTAAAGGTTGCCTCGGGATCATCCCAGCGAAAGTTGTAGACGTAGCGTGATTGTGAGTCCCAAGCCTGGGCTGACCAGATGTTCTCAGGTTGGACGTCGGGCAATCTGAATGGTGAAACATCGGCGAGTTGCTTCCCCCAGATTCCGAGACTACCCGCCCACGAGACATCATTTTCCTTGCCGCCTCCACCAACGCATCGAGACGATAGATTGAACATCCGTACGCATAACTTGTTTCCGTGACCAGGGAATGCCTCGACAACCCGGTCTGGGAAATCATTGTACGTCACCGACATGTAACTTCCACCCCTGTCCACATTGGCGCTGCTCCAGTGGAAGCCTTCTCTCATAAGCCGAGGAAGATCCGGCGTGTCGATGCGCAGGAAGGCAACCCAACTTTGCTGGCCCGGACGTTTTTGGTGCTCGGGGACGAGCTGATTGGCTGGATGAATTCTCATCTGCAATGTGCCTGGTCGTGCTGCATCAAGAGCTGGATTCAGGGGAATGTAGCGGCGAATCGCCCGAGATGATGAGCTTTGTTTGGATTCTGAAGCTTCGTCGGCTGTGGGAAGATGTGCCTCGTAAGGGGGAGGGCTAGCGGCTTCGGGCTGACGTTTTGCAAGCCGGAATGGTGCGAGTTCTCTCAAGAAGTCCATCGCCGAGGTATATTGCGTCTGATGATCTGAAGGTCGGGTTGGCAGATGACGGGCACAGGAGGCTGTCACTCTGTTGCTCGACACGGGTGGGAACAGGATTGTGAGGGACTTCAGCAGGTCTGGGTCCGACCTTATACTTATACATTGTGACGCGAAATAAACATTGGGAAGCGTTGATGGGCTTAGCCTCTTTTCCTTTCTCCGTTGACAAACTTTACCAGAAGATGACATCCACAACCTTGGGGATTGAGTTTTGGAACGCACGACAGGTCGGTCATCTGTGATCGCATCTTCGTGTGCGCTGCATGACGAGTAGCAGCAACAATATTGAATTTCTGTTCAGGAAATTTAATGACAAGGTTCTTGATCGCTCGAGGAGCAGAAGGCTTCAAGATTAAGACGGGCGGTGCTTGCATCGCGACGTCAATGTTGTGGTGTTCTGGTGGTTTGTGGTTTCCAGTTCACATGTCGTCATCACAGTGATGTTACCTTGGAAAACTGTGCATAATAACTGTGCTGCCCCGCGCTACACCGAAGCTCGGTGAAGGCTCTCGATGGTCCCAGAACCCCACACCCCACCTTCGACCTGCACTTGGTCATGTCAAGTTTTGCGCAAGCCTCAACACCACAGCCGATCTGTTTGCCCACATCAACTACAACCCTACACAGCAGTATTGCGACCTTGCAAGAACAAGAAAAACACCCGCAAAATTGCCCCACGGACATTGCCCACCATGGATATCGATGACGTTCAGCTCACGTCCCAGAACGTCCCGTCCAACTTCAATGCGGCGGAGGCCGACAACCTCGAGGATGTGAGCGCACCTGCCTCCATTGTACTCACGAAAATGGCAAATGCTAACCAAGGACGCGCTTTTCCGACAGATCGAGAAGCAGTTTGCCGTCAAGGCCGTTCAGCACATGGAGACCTACTGGTCCATCCTCGAGAAGGTCAAGGGCTCCACCCTGCGCCTGACCAAGCTCGACGACGAGATCTACGCGCACCTCCTGAAGGACTTTCCCGACTTTGACCCCGCCGAGACGATCGACGAAGACAAGATGAAGAGCAAGCAGGGCAAGGAGAGGTGGCGCAACTTCATGATGGCCTACGACAAGCGCGTCGATGACTACAATTTTGGCACCATGATGCGCACGGGGCCCAAGTTCGAGTACGGCCAGAACGAGGTCATCTTTGTGCCGCGCATGCAGTTCTACGCAGTTGAGATTGCGCGGAACCGCAAGGGGCTGAACGACTGGATCTACGAGCAGGCGCAGGCGGAGAAGGCCAAGAAGGCGTCTAGCTAGGCAGCGGGTGGTTTATGAATGAAATGACAAGCCTTGGGCACAGATCTCCTCTGACTCCGTCGGCTCCGGCTGCCTGCAAAAACTGTGCGACGCCATTCTGGAAACCACGGCGCCATACCATCTGATTGAACCGACATGCCATGGTGGCGCTGGGCGCCTCGGTGGCACACGCATTGAGCGGCCCAGGCTGAAAATGGTGGCACACACCACGAGAACGGCTTTGAGGTCGCCGCCATCTCGAAGGAAAGCGTCGTCGTTGGCCACCACCATGGAGAAAAGGTCGGAGCTATTGATTTCTTTGTGCCTCAAGTGTAACCAGAGATATCTTCTTTGAACCTCACTGCTCCCCAGACGAGCGTTTTGATTGCGCCTACGCTCCGTTCAAAGTTGGTCGATACCAAACGAAGCTCTACTTCCAGACAAAATCGTTGCTGCATTTCGGCTGTTCCTCCAGATCCGGACGAAAATCACGGAAATACTGGGCAGTCCAACACAGAAATCGCAAATATCGCAAGTCTTTCACATCCGCTGTGCATACTACTCATGAGCGCATATTAGGAAAGTGTGCTGTTCAGCTGAACCTCCTTCCCCTGTGGTGTACGATTGTTCCCCAACACTTGGCCCCACAGGCGCCCAGAACAATATGAAGACTCTCAACCACCACAATGAAAGCTGGTCCTCGGCCAAAATTCAACCTGAATACTCTCTCGACCTGCCGCAATGCTCGTGCTTTTGGATTGTTCCTTGTTCCTACGCGCAGCCCTGCTCTGGTTACCAATTTGCTTGGCGCATGAACATGACTCCATCTCTTCTATTCCCATACGATCCCATGTTCAGATATGCCTCCATCGCAAAGATCAGATATTCTACGGACCGACAGCACTCGTGGGCGAAGCAATCATCCTTCGTTCAAGACGAAATATCTTTGAACTCGTCACAAACGACAGCCTTCACATAGCATCTCCAAAGATCTAGATCAGATGGAGTCTGCCGCAGCCGTCAAAGTTTCGTGGAGAGATCTTTTTGCTTTCACCAGATGGACACACTGCGTCGCTCTCGTCCCGGCAGTTGTCGCTTCATGTGCTGTCGGGGCATTCAAGACTTCGTTGGCCGTCACTCTCGGTCTCTTCTTCCAGTATACCGTCGATGTTGCCGACGGCTCCGTCGGAGGCCCAGAGACAATTAAACGCACGGCAGCCCTGAGTGTGATTCTTTGCGGGCTTGGAGCCGGTCACTGGGCTGCCAACACCGTCTTTTTCGCCTCTTGGGTTCTCTTCGGCGAGCTGCAGGCCAAGAGCATTCGCGAACGAATGTTCAAGAGCCTCCTCAAGAAAGAAATGTCCTGGTACGACTCCCAGTCCGAAGGCGTTTCCAGTCTTCTCGTGCGGATTGAGTCGTAAGTCTCCCTTTCTTCTCATCACACCGATAGAAATGGCATCTAACATGACAGACAAACTCGTGAACTGCAAATCGCCACATCCCAGGTTCTTGGCTTTCTCATAAGCGATATCGTCGTCTCCGTCGCCTGTCTCATTGTCAGCTTTTACATGTCCTGGAAGCTCACCCTGGTCCTGCTCGCCACCGTTCCCGTCTCGATAGTTGCGCTCACTCTGGCCACTCGTCGCCTCCAACCCGCCATCCAGTTACAGAAGGCCCACCTCTCGGAAGCGACCAAGTACGCCAACTCGTCGATCACGGGCATCGACCTCGTCAAGATCTACAACGGCTTCGACACGGAGGTATGGCACTACCTCAACTCTATCAACGCTTCGATGAAGCAATATCTCGTACAGGCGCACTGCAATGCGGTGCAGATGGGCTACGCTAAGTTCTGGGTCGTCAGCCTGTTCGCGGTGGGTTTCTGGTATGGCATTGTGCTGGTGCAAGAGGGCGCGAGCCCGGCGCAGGTCTTGACGACGTTCTATGCCACCTTGACTGCCTTGCAGGGCATTGAGAACCTGATGCCGCAGTGGCTTGTACTGGCTAAGGGGATGGCGGCTGGTCAGTCGCTTCGACAGACTGGCGCGTTTGTCAGCAGGGGAAAGAAGCGTGTTGGCACCCACAAGCCGAGCTGCTGCATTGGGGATATTGAAGTCAATGGTGTAAGTCGACCGCTGCGTGTGTGAAGATCTGCTGGACTGACCGTTTGGTAGGTGAGCTTTGCATACCCCTCGAATCCCGACCAGATTGTCCTCCAGAAATCATCCTTTCGTTTTCCTGCTGGCGAGACGTGCTTCATCGTTGGCAAAAGCGGCTCTGGAAAAAGCACATTGGGCAATCTTCTCGTCAACTTTTATGAACCGCTCACTGGAACCATCTTGGTCGACCATCATCTTCTCCAAGATCTCGATGACGAATGGATCCGGAGGAATATAACTCTGATCCAGCAAACAAGCGTGTTGTTCAACGAGACGTTCTTCCGCAACGTGGCATTCGGCCACCCATCTCCAGACGATGTCACGGTCGACGAGGTAAGGTCAGCCTGCGACACAGCCATTCTACAGTCAACGATTGCCGCTATGCACCAGGGGCTCGATACACCGGTTGGCACAGGAGGTTACAGTCTCAGTGGCGGGCAAAAACAGCGCATCGCCCTCGCCCGTGCCAGGCTGCGCGACCCTCCTATCCTCATTCTCGACGAGGTCACCAGCGGACTTGATCTTGTCAGTAAGACTCTCGTAATGGAGGCTGTCCGCGCCTGGCGCCAGGACAAGACAACCATCATCATCACGCATGATGTCTCCCAGATCAAGAACGACGACTACGTCTTCGTCATGGACAAGAGTCGTCTTGTACAAGAAGGCTGCCGAAGAGATATCGCTGGCGACGAGGGTGGCCTCTTTGCCGCGCTTCTTTCTGCTTTGCGCGACGAGGCTATCGAAAGCGAGGGTTCGACGGACCTTGCATCGCCACTCGAAGAGTCATTCGCCGATCCTGACAGTCCGTTAGCATCAAATCCCAGGGAATCATCCTTTGTGGGAAAGATGATCATGCGGGAACTAGACCGGGCCTTCGAGAGGCCAGAAACCGGTCATTCGCCACGGCCTTTCTCTCTCGGACATGGAACCACACGTGCAACTGAACTTAGAATGACGCGGATCTGGGACGCCCCTTCTCGGAGCCAAATGAGATACAGTCGAGGTCTGTCGTGGCATGTAGCAGACGGAGAGGCGTCCGTAATTGACGACAACCGTAAGGGAGCGGTAAACGTACGTACGCGACCGAGGAGCAGCGGCTACGATGATACCACCTCTTCTTGGAGGCACAGCTTGGACCTTGTGCAGATGGCGGGAGTGAACATCCAACATCTTCGGACCGGCACGCCTGTCAGTCGGCAATCATGGCGGCAAACTTCTCACCCTCTGCCACCTGACAAAAAGGCTTTCGACACCCAACGTGGACCTGACGCCGCTCGTCCAAATATGGTGGTGGCAGATGCGCAAGGGACTGTGGTTTCGAACCCGTCCTCCATCGTGCTCTCGCGCTCGGTCTGGGCGCAGCTGTCGAATCCGGACCGCCTCAAGCTCCTGGCGGGAATCATTCTCTGCATCCTTGTCGCTGTCTCCGGACCTCTTTTCGCGTTCGCCTTCACCCGGCTCCTCGAGACCTTCTGGGCGGATGAGGACGTACAGCGGTCAGTCGGCCAGAAATGGGCCGTCGTCATGGTGGCTGTTGCAGCGATCGATGGACTTTCC